GTACAGATATTTAGAGTATTGTCAAATAACCATCATCAGTGGGTTTCTGTTAAAATAAAAATAGTCACTACTGTCATATTGATGTTAAAATCAAATTTTATAAGGCATATGTAAGATAAAAGGAGACAGAATTAAAAAAAGAAACATTTATTTACCTAATTATATCAATATATTTGCAACGGCAAAATTTTATATTTTTTAATTTTGCTTTATAAAAGTGTATATAGAATCGGAATAAAAATAAAAGAAAATGAAAACAACATACATACCTTTATGTGTTTAACAAATAAACTAAATTTGAAAATGTTTTTCATATGAAAACATAATGCAAGTTAAACAAATTTAAAACACAATTTAATAAACTTCTTAAAAGTTTTCTTTAATTTTTAATTACACATACATACACTACTTCCACTTTCATACAAACACTCACTAACTTTGCCCATTCATTTTGATAACAAAATAATGTTTCAAATTTGCTTTCCACCCTTTTTTGTATTTGATCACTTAAAAAACTATACTGACGCACCTCTGTCTACTGCTCTGCTTGCGTCTTAATAACTGCAGTTCCAACTTTGTTTTTATTTTTAGTGCATATTCACTCCGAATATTTTTTATTAGAAAACAGAAAGCGATTTATTAAAATATTCTTCTAATAAATTTTGTTTAATTTTTGAAAATAGTTTTAAATTTTTTAAAATTTATGTCAATTTTATATTCGATAATTTTCAACATATGCATTTTATACATATTGTAATCTATATTATGTATTTTTATATATTATATAAATATTTTTATTAAGTATATAACAAGCTTCAATTGGAATTTGCTTAGCACAAAAATAGTATTAAAAAAATTTAAGAATTTCCACCTTATTTGTAATTTATTTTATATTATTAAACATAAAATAATTGCTTATTTAATATGTTGAAATAATGTATTGTTAACACAAACTCAAAATTAATAATTTTGTTTTCACACGTCGAACCGCTTAAAGCCGTGTCATAAACCGAACTATTTTTTAGTGTTTCAATAACTTTTTAATGTTAACTGATTACCGTTTCCTTTTTCTTTGCTGAGACAGGGAACTTCTTTATCGCCGTCTTTCTTTTTGTGGCGAAAAATATTAAATTGTTAATGACATTTACTTTATATGGCAAAATACATAAAAATTAATTACAATCATTTTAATAAATATTTCATAATTATAATTTACCTGTGTGCTTATGTAAAATTAGATCAATTAAAATTTTGAGAGATTTTTTCTATGTACAAATATTTCAAATATTTATAATTGACCTTATAAATAGGAATATCAACAGTTAAACCCTATTGCTTATAAGTTATTGTTGTTTGTTATTTAAATTGTTGTTAAAAAAAAAAAATAAGAAAAATAAATAGTCAGTTCTATTTAAAAATTATATATTGTTATATATTGTTATATATTATATATTGTTATTTTTCGTCAACTATGACGAAAAAGATAATTTAAAAAAAAACTTTTGAAATAGTAAACTCTTTATAATATATTTTAATTTTCCAAATGTTTTTTTACTTAATTTTATCCAATTATAAAGTTACAATTGTACAAAAGCCTTTAGATTCTTTGTTTACTTATTTATAAATAAATACAATATTGTATACTATAATTACACTGTTATTCTAGTAATTTTGTGAAAAACAGAAATCTTGACAAAAGTAATTTTAAATTAAAATTTAGCCCATTTTTGTATTTGGAGTTCTTCATGAAGAGTTTTTATTGTATACAAAAGCTTAAAGTCACTAGTTCAATTTTACTCACCATGCCCTGGTGGATTTGTTTATCATAAACACAATCCACATTTAACTGGAATTTCATACAAATATGCCACAATCTGTGCTTGTTTATTACATACACAAACCATTTCAATTAAATTTTAAAAAATGTGGTGAATACAGAACATTTATTAAAAAATTTTAAGACTTGTGTACTTTGTATTTAAAAATTTATTATTTAATTGTATTTTTAAAGTCAGTTATTGTGAAAGAAACTATTTTCTTAGTAAAAAAGTTTTCGAATAGTATTGAAGTTTTGTTTTTAATAAGTACCAAATATTGAAATTTTATCTTGTCAAATTTGAAACCGTCAGCAAGGCCTTAAACACTACTATTCGCCAGCTAGAATTTGCACAAAGTCAGGCTTTGAGAAGACTTTTCAAAGTACCATGTTACATTAGGGCGAATGACAACCTCAGAGACTTCAAGATTGATCCGATAAAAAATACATAAAGCATAGAACACTGAAATTATTTACGAAAACTGACAGGCTTACCAACACCGCGTTATCGAATCTCAGAATGGTTACAGGTTCCTCAGGAAGGTACGCAGATCTGAGGTCAGTTATTGCTTAGTCTGATGAATTGTAAAATAATCCAGTCAAGCCGTAGAGAGGGGTTATGAAGAAACCTCACAGTTAATAGAGAGTAAAAGTGCTCAAGTGCACTGAATCAGTGCACTAGTCTGAAACTCAAACTTAATAATAATTGAAATATACGATAATTTATTGCATATTAGATATAATCAATTACTTACATATGTTTTGCAATTTAAAAGTAATAAATAATCAAATAATCAATAATAATACGAGCAATTCGTATATATATGTATAGGTACAAATCTAGGTCACTAACAGTTTGCAATATTAGATAAATAATACTAACTGTGTAATAGAAAAATGTTTAAATAAATATTTATACATTAGTCACTTGTTTAATTTCTACGCAAAACAATAATTTTGATTGTTTAAAACAATAAATACTTTTATTATCAAAATGTTGACATGATTTATTAATATCCGATAGATAATTTCCATTTTAAGTACGAGTTATCATTTCTCAATCATTTGTAGAACGTATGAAACAGTAAAAGTTATTTAATAATAAAAACATGATTTATCAAAACTCTATTTTGATAAAAAAAAAACGTATTCGAAAAATTGATATTATGAATTTATTATCAATGTTTTTGGTGAGATCTTTTTGGATCAAATTTTGACTTTCTTTGAAATTCTCTCTGTTTTCTATCCCGCTTCTTATTATTCTCCAATTTCTCCGATTAAAATTCATAGCTGTTGATTTGTATTAGCTAACAAGTATAGATGAAATGTAATTCCTTACAAGTCTTCACAATACTTGGCCCTGGACGACTTTATCTGGACGACGTAAAAATATCTACAAATAAGCTTAGTTCGTAGTGGTGATATTTTCAATGTTTAATTTGCTTACATTACAAAATAATATTAATTTTTCTTCTGCTTAAATGGTCATAACAACTCTTTGTCAGATATTAGCCTATTGCAGCACTCCTCTCCATGTGCCTCTGCTACGTGTGTGCATTATTCAGTCTTGTACATCTAGAACTGTAAGTACTCCCCCTACCTAATTATTTTACCGGAGACATGGATTACCTCTATACCTTCTTCGTCTAACTGTGGCTTCAAACATCTATTTCACTGGAATATCGTCATCCAATGACCGACCAGGTAAACCGCTTAAGTTAATTCGCTTAATGAAATCAACGTTGTGATAAAGCTCCTACAGCTCGGGATTTATTCGCATACGGTAGTCATCGACAACTCGTAGAGAAGCAAAGATCTTGAGAAAAACGTTTCTCTTGAAAACACTCAGTGCTTCTTTTTCGCTATATAAAAGCACAGGTGGAATAAGCGACCTATAGAGTGTTGGTTTGTTTTTTGTTGTGAAAGAGCTCTACACACCATTTGCCAACTGATATTAATTACATTTTATAAATATTTTTAATGATTTTTTTAAATTATTAATATTAAAATATTATGTTAAAGAATACAATAAAATATTATAAAATAATAAAATAAAAATAAATAAATAAAAATAATATCTTTAAAATTATTATTAATTTTTTTTATTTTAAATGATTTATATTATTTATAAAACATTATAAAATTATAAAAAAAGAATAATATTTTTAAAATTAGTAATAAATTTTTTTTATTTTAAATAAAATTACATTTTATAAATAATTTAAAAAATTTTTTTAAATTATTAATATTAAAATACTAAATTAAAAAAAAAAAATATTAATAAAATAATAAAATAAAAATAAATAAATAAAATTAATATTTTTATTATAATTAATAAATTTTTTTATATTAAATAAAATAAAATTGAGTATAAAGAAATTAAAGTAATTTTACAGAATGTAGCTATAAACATTGTAGATACCGGAATCCATGTCTCAAAACCCGGTTGCCAAAAAATATTCGGAATTGTTATGTTTCTTTTTGTTGTTTCTTTCATTGTTTATCAATGAAGGAAGCAGAGTATAATTATTAACAAAAACTTTTGTTGTATAATTTTTTTGTTTACTATTTTACAATAACTTGATTCCGCTCTTATCCGAACAGTTGTTTAGCCCTTAACTCCCCTAACTCCCCCACGTAGCATGTAAGAGTAGTCGCAATTGTTGACATATAAACATATTTATGTGCACCTGTGCGAGTACATCAATGAGTAAATATTTTTCTATTTCTGCAATAGTCACAGCTCTGTATTCTTTTATCAGTGCTTGATAAGAACAATAACAATAATCAGTTTCTGATATGAACTTAAACTGTTTTTGTTTTTGTTTTTCATTTTAATTTCAATTTTAATTTTTTCACTCAATTATTTCCACCCATTTTCGGCAAAAATTAAATTAGTCACTTGAGAGGCGTTTTGCGGTTAATTTCGTGCCTTTAAACGGTTTTTAAATAATTTATTGAAAAACGCTTTATGTGCAAATGAATGTGTGAAACTAATTAAAAAGTTTGTGATGTAATGTTGTTGTTATAAAAAATATACTGACTACTGTAAGAAAATTATTATTTTAATAATAATTAAAAATATTCAATGAAGAATTAAAAATTTTCAATGAAGGATTAATTAGTGTGAAAGTTCGCCCTTTTGAAAAAAGTGAATTCAAATAAAAAAAAAATTCTTTTTAATTTACATATATATATTCAATGCTATGCAAGATAAGATAACTTATATATTGTGACCTTAAACAAAAATACGAATAAATTAAATAAATAAATATGTCCAGTCAAGATAGTGACGAAAATTCATTAAATGGATCAAAAGCTTCCGGCTCAACGACGGTTGTTAAATATGAGAAATCTTCCTGTCTCTTCTGCAATGAATGGTTCGATTCGCAAACTTTTACAGTACGTAGCACTTTAGGTTTATTATTGAAACTAATTAAAAAAAATATTTAAAAGTAAAATTCAGCAGTATAAACTAGCTCTAATTACTTGTTAAAATAAAAAAAATAAAAATAATAACATTATAAAATAAATAAATAAACAAAACTTTTATAATATTACTTCAGGTTTATTATTAAGGCTGGATGAAATTAAATATTTAAAAATAAAATTTAGCACTTATTATTATTTTTATAAATAGCTATACTTTTTCGTATTCGTAATAAATTAAATTAAATTTAAATAATTCATTAAGCTTAAAATAAATTTAGTCACATGCACATATTTGCGCATATAAACAACAGTTCTAAAGGCAGTAATAACAGCAGCGTAAAAAAAAAAATAAAAAATAATTGTAAACAATATATACTATAATTAATAATTATAATAATTATTTATATATTGATTTCTTAAATTATGATATTAAATTGTATCCTACTAAACTGAATGCATAATAATGATAAACTAAGCTGGCCTACTTCACTTATGCATGCAGTTAGTGTACCATTAATATGAGCAAAACTCGAATTATAATTGCAATATATTTTGGAGATAGTCATGGTCACGTCACATAAGAAATTGTTATTGTTTTCAATGTAAGTTAAATGATATAGAGATTAAAGGGGAAAATTCGTTTAAATTCTGATCTAAATTACTAAATTGATCGATGCTTCGTTAATTATTAATATTGCAGTCAAAATAATATAAGAAAAAAAATTGAAAACAATAAAAAATATTTTCAATAAATACAACAATTTTCTGGAGAAGTATACATAAGGTCATTATACTATTTATAGCAAAACCAAATATTTGGTCAAAACATTTTGTCAACAACAATTTGTTAAATTGTTTAATTAATTTTAAATATCTTATCTTTTTATCTAGTACTTAAATAGTTATGTATTTACAATTATTGCATATATACGTAATTAACATTGGTAGTAAGTACATTTCTATATCTTTGTAAAACCTTCTGAATGTAGAACTAAAAAGAAAATAATTTGGTTCTAATTATTGAATTATTGTTACAATAATTATAATAATTATTTATTATTTCTGTAATACTTTTAGGTTTATTAAGGAGGTAGTATCTCAAATTAAACACTAATATTATTATTACTATATATTATATCCTTAATTATATAACGATTTTATAATAAACGATTTTACAATCGTTTCTAAATATTAATATAATATATATTCCGAAAAAAAGCTTCATAAAAAAATAAAAACTATTGCCGATATAAAATTATTAATAAATAATAAATATTATGAATATATTAATAAAATATAAAAACATGTTATAGTTTCCAAATAATCTTCATAAAAAAATAAAAACTATTGCTCATAAAATATAATAATAATATACAAATATATAAAATAAATATTTTGTTTTATATTAATATAAATTAATTTATATTATATTAATATGAAATATAAAATTAATAAAATAGTAGCAATTCAATTATAATATAATTCAATTATATATAATTCCTTGATGCCATGATAAACCTGAGAAAGCAAAATCTTTTGGATAAACGAATTGACAACGTATGTGAACAGCTCTAAATTAATTGGATTAACACAAAATATGTAATTAGAGAGAAATCTTGGAGTTAAAGGAACAGAAACATAATTACAATCTATAAAGAATATTCGAAAGTCAAATACATATTTATAAGTTCATGATCACACAGTTAGTGTCAGATATTCAAGGTCCAAAGCATATAAAATATCACGGATACTGAAAGCTCGATGTGACTAGTCTCGATTTAGTTTCATTAGACTATATGGTAGCAGTTGTGAAGAACTTAATCTATGGACAACAAAGATCTGCAAAAAATATAAAATAAAATAAAATAATTACCTTATGATATTTGGGTGTAATAGAAGTTATTCGTCACTTCGAAATATTGGTCTTATATTTAAAAGAACATGAGATGATAGCGGTATTAAAGGATCGAAATAAAGGTGTCAGAATATAATTTCTAAACTTCCTTTCTTAATAATAATATTAAAGTTAACTTCTGACTGATGAACTTTTCAATTAAGTGATTTGTTTCTTCAAATAATTGGTAATAGAAAATTGTAAATTTATTATGAGTAACTTAATAAAAAAAACTTAACTAAGTAACTAACTCTATTTCCAAAAAAATATTCGTACATATTTAATATCTTTACATAAACATATATCTTCTAACAATTGCATTACATTTTTGGTTTGCTTTAATGAATTTCTTATCTAAAAACTTGATAAGGTTTTATAAGGGCACCAAAAACTGCTGCTAAATTGCCAATAAAGCTTACCCCAACATAAAATTACTTCCATTACTCAGATACTCGCATAATTTCGTAATCATTGATAAGATAACATATCTGAAAATATTTGCTAATGTAAAATGATTACTTACTAATAACTCAACTCTTCTTTCAGGAGCACTTGATACACTGCGGACAGGTGCTTGAACAATGTCCCAATACTTGTAACACCTTCGTGCCAAGAATCAGAATGCGTTCACATCTGAAAGAATGTCCACGGGCGAAACAAAGATTAGGTAGTAGCCATGAACGTTTGGATCAACATTTAGATCATCGTATGCAAGTGTTGGAACAAGATGTCAGTGCGCTACGTTCGGTATTGAATGAAGAGATACGACAGCGTTTACATTTAATAACAGATGTAGGAAATTTACGTAAACAAAATCAAATACAAGATGAATGGTCACACAGTACAGATGAATCACTTAAAGGAATTAATCGACGCATGGAAGAAGAAAATACGCAGCGTACTTTTGAAGTGGAACAATGTCAGAATGACTTTCGTTATTGTTTCGATGTAACGCAAGTAAGTTAATATTTTATTGTTATTATAAAGTAATATATATAATATCTATATTTTTTGATTATATTTAGGCACTTAAAAATGAAATCCAGAATGAAATGGATTCACTGCAAAAACACATAAATCAATTATCTACCGAAGTAGCTGAGCATCAGAATCTTTTAAATGATAATATATTGAAGTTGGAGGAAACTGTACTGGAACATGAGAAAATCAATCGGTATTTATACAGTTTACAGCAGTTAAGACGAAAATACTTAATTCTGGTTTTATTTAGAGATAAATTCATAGAAGTTGAAGAATTTTTGAATGGTGTTAGCGAAGATCTTAAAACAAAATTCGTTACTAATAGTGATTTAAATGCAAAACAAATTACTATGGACTATGAGATTAAAAGTATGAAAAATATTGTTTGCGAAACCGAAGAACGCTGTGAAAAATTAGAAGGAATAGTAACTGATATAGATAAGAAGCTGCATCATACAATACAAGCTCTAACAGACCTCGAAAATCATTTGGCCACGCAACAACGTTTAACAAGCATACAAAATACTAGAGGTACAAGATACTATGCTCTGTAATAAACATGTATAAATAAATAATATATAAAAGTTACTTTCTTTGTCGAAATTGACGAGTCTTATGACAAAAAGAAACTAGAAGTGTTCGAACAGTAATGAAGAAAGCACAACAAAAATTTTAATTAATTTATTAAAATTTGTCTAACCATATAATGCTGTACTTGGCAATACTTGAAACAGCATTGTATGGTCAGCCAAATTTCAATAAATTAAGTAATATTTTTGTTGTTTCCTTATTACTGTTTGAACCTTTCTTAATAATACATATATTATATAATATATACATTATATAATATATAAATTATTTAATATATATATTATACACATACATTACTTAATACATTTTATTATATACACATTATTTAATATATATATTATTGTTACGTTATTATATATTTATACATTATTTAATACATATTTCAGACTATTTTTTATATATTTATTTTATATATATTATTTTTTATATTTTATTTAATGTATAATTAATTATATTTTTAATCATTTGTAGGTCATTTGATTTGGCGCATTAAGGATTATTCCAAAAAATTGGAGGAAGCTAAACAATATGATACAATACTACATAGTGCCATGTTTTCCAATAAACCATATGGTTATGCATTACGTGTAAGTTTTATTATGTATTACTATAAGAATTATTATATACTACACTTTATATATTTTTATTTATAACAAACTTTTTCAATTATTTTAATAAGTTGGATATACATCTTAATGGTAAAGGAACTTGGAAAGGTCGTAATATGATTGCTTGTTTAAATGTGATTGCCGGTGAATTTGATCCACTTCTTACATGGCCTTGTCGTCTGCAGGCTGATGTAGTTATACGTGATCAAAAGTATAATCAGGCAGAACAGCAGGACTATGTCAAAACCATACAAGTGCGCAAGAAAAACGACGAATATTTCCTAACTAATCAATATTTTCATATTCCACATAAAGTAATTGCAAGTCGGAATTACTTGCGAAATGATTGCTTATTTGTGGAAGTTAGAGTGCTAAAATGACAATTTCATATATAACACAATTTTACTATAAAAGAAAATAAATTAATTCAATATAAGTAAACTTTTAAAACAAAAAGCAATTTTTCAGTTTTCATTGTTTTTTTTATTGTAAGGAAATATTTAATTAATATAAATGCCATTTTATAGTAACTTTATACTTTATTTTAAGATTTAAATAAGTATGTACTTTTTATATGTATGAAATTATTAAACTTAGATGGATACAAATATTTTAAATTACTAAAATAATTATAAAAATTTTGTGATTAAAAAAAATATTTTTTAAAATTTATAAATTTTTAATAAAAAAACTGCAAGCTTCACATATTTAAAAGACAAACTTATAGCATTTTAAGCAATATTACAATTAAAAAAAATGATAATATTTGAAAATTAAAATTTTAAAGCAAAACAATCAGTATGAATAAATACAATTTAATTTAATTCTTTTCTTTGTTTGAGATTAATTGACCAGTAGCTTAATTTTGCTAAATCGTTTAATATATGAACATTTCAGTGAATATTATATATATATATTGATAATATGTTTTTAAAACAATTTTTAATATAATGAAATATTTTTGTAAAAAATTCTATAATAAATTATTTTAAGCCAAAGCACGTTATAGTTATAGTTATTTGATTTTTAAATATACAATGAAAATATTTTTATATATCCTGTACAAACTTTTATATTACGTTTTGAATATTATGGTAATGAAATTATGTTTATATGTAACTTAGGACATTAATTCAATTATAATTTTAAATATTCGAAAATATTACTTAGATTTAATATAATATATGTAAAAAAGTTAGTAGAGATTTTGGCCCATTGTGAATTTATGTAGCTGGAGATTATTTATGAAGAACGTTGTTCACCGACTAAAGCATACAAAGCGTGCTTGTAATGTCCAGAGGTATCACCCTGAAAATAATAACATAAGATTTAAACATTTATTTATTTATTCATATATTTTTTCTTTATATACCTTAATCCAGCTCTTCAAGCTTTTGCCGTACATACGTTCGAATGTAGTTTTTATATCGGCCAAATCGATCTGAAAAATAGTTTTTTGTGAATTAAATTTTAGAACATAAATTTGTTACAAAGAATTCACTTAAAAATTATTTCTAAAAAATATAAAAGTGATCTATATATATATATCTATATATATGTCTATACATATATCTATTTATATATGTATATAATATGCACCAATAAAGTGCTGCTGATAATATAAGGGGCTCATATTAAATTATTTCAATGCAAATTTTATTTAAGATTTGTAGAGAGTCCATGTTTATAAAAACTGTAGTAGAGAAAGACTAAGAATGCATTAGAAAAGCGCAAGGTTTATTATATATTCGGATAATCAGACAGCTATCGAGTGTTTCAACCCTAAATCCAAGTTAGACTGAAGTAGCAAAAACTTTATAATGAATTTTATATGAAGATCCCAACATAGGGTTTTTGGTTAGATATTGTTAAATAAATATTAAATAGATAACATATAGATATATCATATTTTGTTTTTTAGAAATACATTTACAATATTCGCAGCGAAGTCATTTTTTTAACCAATGTTGGGAATTGGGTTTTTGGATAGATATTGTTAAATAAATATTAAATAGATAGCATATAGATATATCATATTTTGTTTTTTAGAAATACATTTACAATATTCGCAGTAAAATCATTTTTTTAAGTATTAATAAGGTATTAATAATAATTAATAAGCTCTCTGTATTTGAACGAAAACTCTTCCTGAAAAGGTAAAAGTTCACTAATGATATTTCTTAACTCAAAGAAATAATAAAAATAATAAAATAATAAAAAATAATAAAAAACTAGAACTGAACACTGATCAACATTTGAAAAAGTTGCTAGTTCCAGTCAATTATAAATGTAATTATTTATTTAAAATATATACATATAAAAGCAATTAAAAGGATCCAAAATATGGATACATATAGCCTATTGCGTATATATCTGCACAAGCCTATTACAGAATAAATATGTGGTGTGTCTTACCTCACTACGTGTTATTATAACGCGTATCAATTGTTTATCATTTGTGCCAATACCAGCCATACTCTTGTGTAAACGAGATGCAAAATATTCGGTTTTATTATTAACGCATCTATAGATGGCGATTAAACCTTCCATAATATCACCGGAAAATTCTTTTTTAATAGCTTTTTCCAGTGTATGTCCTGTCATACGTTCATATTCTTGGAATATCTGAAAACAATTAAAATTTTAATATAAAAATAATATTATTAATTAATATAATAAAATATATTTACCAGACGCAATTGTTGATAATTACGTTGGCACAAAATCATATTAAACATGCTTTCATCAGTGCCTACACGTAATTCACCAGCTTTTAGTAATTCTCTAGCATCATTTTGTGCAGTTCCTGCGTCAGTGTGTCCACTTTCATCACGTGCTGCTGTACAGAGTGAAATCAAAAGACGTTTAAAATTGCCAGATGTCTCGGATTTTAGTTCAGATTCCAAGTGAGCACCATACACTGAAAAATATAGACAGTTATTAATAAGAAGTTTATATTACTTTAATTTTAAATATAAGGTGTATTCACGATCTTGAGTAATGAACAGAGTAACCGAGTAAATGCATTACTTCTTTGATCTGTTGAAACGTTCAACAGTGCCATCGATTACCGAGGTCGTTATTCAAGATCGTGGTTGCCGTGTTTTTATAGTAGGAGAACTTACAACGTAAATATTGATTTTTAATAGTGTGTATTTCCATATTAGATAGTGTACATAAGATTTCTATAAGCACATCTTCATCAGTACCAATGCCAGCCATTGCATCATTCAATTCAGCACAATAGTAGTCCACAATGGGACGTAAGAGGCCAACAAGTAACTTCTCGAAATTACCACTTGTTTCTGATTTAATATCCTCGATCAGATCTTTACCAAAATGAGTTTTATATTGACGTTGTATTTCCTATAAAAAAAAAAAATATTTAATTAAAAATGTTTGACATAATGGTCACTCTAAAAGAGCTTAAATAAAGTTATTTATACGATTAAAGCTTTTGGTATTTATAAAAATTAAAAAGCTTATCGCGGCTAAATAAACTGTTTAAATGTATATAGAATGATAAATTTTATTACCTATTAAAATACTTTCTAAAATTCTTGTAATTCAAGAAGTTTCTCAAAATTTCAAACTAACGCGGGGAGCATTTATAAGATTTAATGAAATGACAGGATTTAAGATAAAAAGTTAAAAGTTGAATATTTAGAATAATATAAAGATATGTAAATGTTGTCACATTTATCTGTAGCCACAAATGGAAGATATCAGATTTTTTCTGATTCCGAAAATAAACGGGATCTTTTGAGCAAATCTGCGAAACATTTTTGGAATCTTTCGTACTTCCAAAGCACCTTTTGTTCTATATTTACATTTGCAATGAAGTTATTTATTGTTATTTATCGGAAAAAACAGGATACTAACATCAACGGTATATGGCATGACAATATGTTATTATATCTATGAATAAATCTTAACTATCTTACAAACTATATATTATGTTAGTAAATATCACTTTCATCTTACCTGTCGTTGTTCATTTGTTCGGCGACAAATAATATTGATGAGTGCATCTTCATCAGTTCCAAAACCTTTCATTGCCTTACGCAAATCATGAGCATCTTTAACGGAATCAAAACTTTGAGGTGGAAAAATAGTTGGAGTGCCCTAAAATATTTACAATAAAAAGTTTTAGAAATTAAATCAAGTATAAAAAACATATTTTATTAAATTATTATATGTTTTTATTTAAATAATTATTATAGAAATAAGATATATCTTTATTAAAATAATAAATAAAAACTGAAACATAAATAAAGAAGTAAGTTTAACAAAAACATTTGAAATAGTTCATTTATATAGCTGTGGTTTATGCGTTCGATCTTAAAATAACACAGTAAATGTTATTTTTGTTATCGAATAAACAGCAAAACTTGATAAAACTCTAAATCGTATTTACACACGAGTCTACTGTTAAAATTTGACAAAAAATTATATTTTGGATATTTTGAAGTAGACTTTTGGTTAAATTGGGAAGATCTAATATATACAAAGATAATGCATATTTGTCATTATTCAAATGCAATCTGCAAAATTTTCTTTGTGCTCAAAACTTCAGATTCTGAACTTCTGAAGTGAATAAACTTCAGCTTCTAAAGTTTTATCACTATCACGGCTTCATCACCATATCATAGTTACAAAGCCATGCCCTGAGTATATTTCGGTTAATGACAATACCTGGACCACAATGGTGGTAGTGGTGTCATTGAACAATATACTGCGGGCAAAGCTTTATAACTATGATATGGTTATGACTCAGTGACAGTGATAAAACTTTAAAAGCTGAAGTTTTGAGCATAAAGAAAAATATGTAGTAATCAAGTCCAAGATTAACTTGATGAAAAATTAAAAATGTTTGTATTTAAAAATTTGATTGCTATTATTCTGTGTTCTATTCGAAATAGATATGTTGTCATTGGATATAAAGATTTTAGTAATAAAATTAATTTTATAATAAAAAAAAAATTAAAGTATTTAATAAGGTTTTATGAAATAGCATAAATGCATCTAAAGATTTTATTTTAGTTATCATATCACTAAATTATTATACTTTTAAATTAAATTTATTATTATATTTAAAATAAAAAATTAGAAATTATTGTATATATATATAATATTTCAAATATATATTTATAGAAATAAAATATGTGCATTGTTTTAAATTAATAAAAAAAATAAGTAATATCATAAAAATTACAAAAATAATATTAAATAAAATATTTATTTTAAAAGATTAAAAATATAATAGAATATTAAAAAATATATTAAAATTTAATTTAAATATAATTATATATAAAATAAAATAAAAATATAAGTCGAAAGATTTATCAAAAAAGCTGATTTTCATTAACAATTTTAATTATTAACAGTAATAATTTTGTTTTATGTTTTTGAAAATAATATATTTTAAAAATCTGAAAATAATTTTATATTATTTCAAATAAAATACTTTTGGTTGTAAGATATTATTTCAATAGTTTTTTATTTTTTTGAAAAATTTTTTGTCTAATTTTTATGTATTTTGTAAACTTAATTAATAATTAATGAAATTAATTACGTTGTGCACAGGCGTGAAAGTTGCTATGACTAGCAATTAGCAACTCTACTAAGCTAAAGCTAAACTAAGCTAAAATAAAAACTTGAACGGTTGTATAAAGATGTAGGCGTTTATTTATTACATAGAAATAATTAAGCCGCTAATAGCAACAAATTTAAGTAATTAAATAGTAAACAAATGCTACACAAACATCATTATTATGATCACAGTAATTAATTCCAGATTCAGTACTGAAATTAACATCATCAAAACTACGACGAATTGTGTTAGTAGTGTCGGTAACATCTATGAGCTTTTTTATGTAAAATAAATAATTTAATTTAATAATTTAAGTGTTAAGTACATAAGACATACAATCTAATAGGTACGCATATAATTACTATGGATTAGTAGATAAATATTGAATAGTGAAAATAGAAAAAAATAGTAACACAAACCTCTTTGCGAGCAAACGGTGAATGACCATGAAACTGGACATGGCCCTGACGATGAGCAAGCTCTTCAAAACAATGTGCCATATTACCGGCAGGTGATTCATAACCACCTGGAGTCTGTACTGGTGTATATCCATGGGTTGGCGCATATGAGTGATGTGAATCGGGATGATTATAATGTGCATTTTGATTGTGTGTAGGATAGGGGCTGCTAGTATTTGCTGTTGGATATGGAGATTGTTGGGGGTTATGTGGGTAGGATGAACCAGGATAGGGAGCTGTATGTGAATTAGGATATGGTGCTGGTGCTGGATATGGAGAAGATGTTGGATAAGGTGCGGGATTATGAGATGAATGAGCGGGATAAGGGGGTTGTGTAATATGTGTTGTGGGTAATTGTTGATAATGTAAGTTTGGTTGGTGTGGGTGATGTTGTTGATGTGGGTGATTTTGTTGATGTGGTGGTGGAGATTGATGGGAGGGTGCTACCCAACCTGCGCCGAATGGTACACCAACTGGCATACCAGGATTTTGATTATTATATGGCGAATTTGAGGATTGTGGGTGTGGTTGTGGCATGCCGGAACCCTACAAAAATTTGTTGAAATTTTTTTACATATTAAATATCCAATTACGTTCTCAAGTCTTTTCAAATTAACAACACCAAATACATTTATTGTATATTTTTTTTCTAAGTGTAGTGGCACGAAAATTGATACTAACAAAATATGCAAGCAAAGATGAGCTATTTTTTACTACTTAAGTAAAGTAATCTTTCAAGATTCATTTTTATGATTATCTATTCTTCCTGATCTTTTTGATGAATATATGTAGTTTACATTTCAGATGAATGGAAATGTTCTAGAAGCATTAACAGTGTACAACACTTTGAAGCTGTGATAAAATATGTAATTCTTTTTTAAAATAATATATTACACACATATATTATGTGCTATACAATTGAATTTCTTATTAAAATGGTGCTCATTATGTGCATATAGAAGAATTTTCCAAAAGTTTTAAGCAATTTGAAATAAACGATTTTTAGAAGAAGTTCTTGAATAAATCAAAATTCTGCATATCATCAAGGAATGGAGAAGTGAAGTTTAAAATAAGATTAAAAGAATTTTTATTTTATATTTTTAACATTATATTATATAGAATAAAATAGTGTTATTTACAGTTTTATTATATAAACAGAGCGACGGTTAAAAGAGGCTTTTGCATTTAACTAATTTAGTTGCTCTCAGAACTAAATATGTAATAATAAACTTTTTACTAATAAATATAAATATTAGTTAAATCAAGCAGCCATGTGTAGTTAAAGCTTTTAACACAACTAAGTCTTTATTTAAACTTATGTAGTAAGAAGTGCAATGCCTTTTTGTTGATTATATTATATTAGCTCGCATTAATTGTCTAAAAAAATCCCTTTTATTTATTAAGGTCTATTGCGTTATCATATAAGTGACAGAGGCCTTGCACCTGACTAACATCCTGTACTAAGTTATTTTTTAGGAGGTTTGATCGCTGGATATCGACAAAACAAATGAGAAGGACGGAAATGAGAAGATTAAAATAATTGAAGATATTGAATCTTTTAGCATAATTTCTTAATCGAAAATGATCTATCGATCTATATTTAAGCTAAAGCTAATACTTTTATGGGGCTATAAATAAGTGGTACTATATTTTTTCCTATTAAAAAAGGAAAAACTGTTCTGCACAGAAAAGCGGATTTGTTATGATTATTGAAATGTTTCAAATGTATTATTATGGTAATCTGTGTGGTAGGAAATCAAATACCATGAGAAAGAGAATCCAAAAAAGAGAAAAGTTCAACTGCGTTTAAACACTGTTCAGAGTATGTATTCCTCAAAGAATCTAGCTGGTAAGTTCATCCGACTTACAATTATCTGTGAATTTCTTGGAAGCAAAACGATAAAAGTTAAACTGCATCGATCTATTGACTTGTTCAAAGTTGAGAAGCAGTAGTAAACCGCTTTAGACTGATGGCTTTAAACAGGATTGATAATATAAATACATCCTTTTTAATATATTTTCCACTATAAGGTAAACTATAGCTTTTGTAATAGCACAAATGTTTGCTTTGAAAACACACTTGCTATCATGAATACTAAAATATATGTGGATATTATTACTTATTTTAAAGTTCTCGATAGTTGACAATGTGAAATTAGATTCAGTTGTGTGAAATTACATTCAAAAAGTCACAAAAACCATTTGTATTATCAAATCATTATATCTAAAATATATATATAATATATACCATTGGTTTAGTTAAAACATTGTCGCATCATTGGTCCTAGACAAAATTTGTAAAGTTCCAATGATTTAGTTCGCGGTTAGGTTTAATTACCTTTATCAAGCCAAAATTTCAGTTCGAAGCTATTTGGTTGGAAATAGGTTCACTGGTATGAAACGGGTTAACAAGGGTTATGCTTTCGAGTATGTGGTAGGTATATAAAAATCCTTATTTAATTGCTGTTTTTATATTCTGATCATTGAGCTAATATGAGTGATCATCTGGGCTAAGATGAGTGACGCAAAGAGAGATATGGTTATCAATTTGTGTAGATTGCTTCCTAAGGACAGCAACAGTTCACGGATAGGAGGGGTACCTTTGCCGTCATTTCCAACTAACAATATTTTGTTTTTAAAGATCTTTCGTGTTTATTTGTAACTGGAGCAAGCAATACAGATTATAGTGTGTAGTATTACATATGAAATTTTGTAACCTTGGCTTATATCAAGGTTCACTATTATACCAAATTCTTTATTATAATTCTGGCATGATATTATTATTATTATTATTATTATTAAATAATAAATTAAAATTAATTTTATATCATTATTATTTATCATTATAGGTAAGTAGTATCAACAGTACTTTATACAGAAGTGGGTGAATGTTCCAGAAGCAGACAGGTTTACATCTTGGGATTTCTCGAGTTTTCAGTTGACGAAGTGGTACTCACAAGAGGTGCTCCAAAATCATAAGTTGTGGTTGGGTTAGAACAATAAGAATATGAGTGAATAATACATATTTTATGAATTTTGTTTAGACCTAACTTGTTTATATTAGGATTCTAAACGAAACGAAAATATTAAGATAAAGTTATTTCTCATACATACATCAGAACACTACATTACAAATTTCACGTAAATAAAACCTGATTTTAAAGTTTAGATTCCATTTTCGTTTTAAAGATATTTTTATTACTCTGTTTTTTTTATAGAAAATGCTTAATGAAACCAAAGATTGGGTTAATATTATTCCTTTTGACCTCACCACTGCAATGAACTAATTTAAATTTTTTATTATTACCATTGTGTCTATAGAAGTGTATGGAAATATTTTTATATCTTGTTCTGGAAGTGAATGAAAAAATGAACTTAATAATTTAATTTTCATGCCACTGACCACTCCACATCAATTCACAAATTTGGGTTCTAGAAAAATGTTTGCACAAATTGGCTTGTGTTTTTTTTTTTTGACAGCCTAAACAATAAATTTCATAGAATTTCAAGAAAAAATTTTTTATAAGAAAATAATAAAGTTTAATTTTTGAAATATAATACAAAATACGTGAAGGCATTTGATGCAAACATTCTGTTAGTATTTGTTAATTTGATGCAATTTCTTTAAAAGTGCATTCGATTAGATTTAGAAAACTTCAACTTTTTACTTACAAATGGATACATTTTGATTTTGTTGATTATTAAAACTTTAATTTAGAATTCAAACGGTCTGAACTGTAAAGAAAAAAAAAAGATATATTAATATTTTAAGAATTTAATAAATTTTTAAACATAATAGATTAATATCATATCATTGATTATATATACACATAATTAATTATAGTATATTCCAGTAATTACCAGTAATTACACTTGTTAAGTGATTATGTTTTAAGATAAAGATATTTTGATATAGATAAAGTTAACATGAAAGTTGTTGAACGATAAGATAAGAAATTGTTGTGGTGTGGCGTGAAATACTTTCTTTTCATGACAAATTAAGTCACTGCACCACACATAATTGGCACTATGCCCACCTTTATTTTTGTCAACAACTAAACATGTATAGTGACGTCATTAATATATAGGCAAGGTAGTTTTTGCCTCTTACATGTCTTCATTAAATAGTGTCATTGAACCTAATAGTTTCATATATGTTAAAATAATATATAAAACTTGTCAAAACATATTTCAACAAAAAAAAAAAAACCAAAAAAAAAAATACTTATATATAATATATTTATAATTATTATTTAAAACAGTAATTATTTAAAATACTGGGTGTGATTTTACAGCACTCAACTCTATAAACTTTTCCCACAACCTTTTGGTTAAACAGTGCAAATTTATACAATTAATTTTTGAACTATAATAAATCAAATAAGCGAAGTATAATCTCTCTAACTGTGGAAACCCAGTAGATGCTGAAAAGTTGGAACCTCCAATGCCGTGATTTACATATTTTAATAAACAACTTAACAGAAATTTAATAGAATATATTTAAATAAATTTTTTATAAAATTTAATAAAAATTAATTTATTCTTCTATAAGTAAATTTCTTGGCACACGTGATGTCAAAAGTATCTATCCATATTTATCTATATTGTATATTTATCGTAATAAACCCACTTATTAAAGCATATCTGAGTTTGATGCAGTTTGGTGCTGGTATTTACTACATTGTGAAATAAATAAACAGCTACGATTAGTTGCGAGTAGTGCGTTACCAAATGATATTATCAAAATAATATAAAATAATAAAATACCAGAAAACATCTTCACAAACATATAAAAGAAGTCACTAATAAAAATCGCTGGTACGAGTATAGATTAGATAGGAAGAAAACGAAAGATGTTTTGGGTTTCAGTACACCCGCAATATTCTATGGTGCCGATGCTTAGAGGTGTAGATCAAATAGAAAAAAAAAAAAGAAAAATCTTTTGGATACCCTAGTCACTCAATAATCCAGTGGACCGTTAACATATATTTTTAAAAAGTATTTATAAAAAATCAAATTCCAAGTATGTATATTCCAAAATAACTATTAAATAATATTTTATATAAATGCACAGTTTAAATTTGACAGGATTGAAATTTTCGCGGTTGCGTTCCAAAAATTATATAAAAACCAACAATTAAACATGTTCGCCAAAACGAATACGCAGATAAACTAACCAGGAGAGAAGCATCCACGCCGATGATGGAGTCAGAATCTTTCTGTAGACCAGAACACAGTACCCTTCTCACTCTCTCATAAAAATGAAGGAGAACCAGAGCAAAATGGAATACTGGGATAATTTAACAGGATCAGCACAATCCAAATCACTTGTTGGTATCTATGACAATAAGAGATCCCAGGATTGTATGAACTTGTCAAAAGAAAAACTTGGAATTATCACAGGATACCGTAAACTAAAACACCACCTTACGAGACTAGGCATCTATACGAATTCAAACTGTAGGTTTAGGCAGAAAATGAAGAGTCGGTCACACATGCGCTGTTAGAATGTTCTGCGCTAATGCACATTCTTGGGAATGTATAATCTTACGGAATAGTCAATAAAACTGTAAAGTAGATTCTATATTACTTTTTATTGACGTAACAGGGCTTAGAGACATACAAGGGGATACAATAGACCCGATGGTCAATATTAATTAATTATTTAACAATTGAATTGCATACCACTGATGAATTCTTTATTCTTGGATTTTATTATAATTTGCTTGTATAGAGGTTTACTATTTTGGATCATTTATAATCTTTTAAATATATACGAGGATGTATGTATGTACGCTGTTACACAATAAAAACCAGATATAATCAATCCAATAACATAAAATTCACAATGTTTTAAAATAAAAATAATAAACTTGTTATTTTTTAAGGACAGGTTATTTTAGTTAAAATTTACGACATGCTGCCTGTGAGCTACTCAAGTGTTGCAAAGGATATGCAGGGATTTCTTGTTAAAATATTTGCAAGTAATTTTATGTTCAAGTTTTTTTTATATGAATATGTTTTATACTTGTATTCACCTAAAGGTTTTGAAATTTACGAGTTAGGCTACATCGTTTATGTGCAGGAGAGCTTACTTTTCTTGTGCCATATATCCTTACATTTAATAAAAAAATATTAAAATAAAGTAAAATAAATAATAAAAATGTATGTGAAGCTTTAAGTAAATTTATTAGAATTGATTAAGGTAAAGAAATGAATTTTATATTGTTTTTTTTTTTACATTTTTCTCTTCATGATTCCTAAAGCATAAAATATTTAATAAGGGCTAAGGTCATGTATCTAAATTTTTTTCTTACGATGTAATATTCTCATTGTAACAAATCCTTTTCAATAAGAAATAAATTAATAAAATATTTAGTATATAAAAATATATATACTCTGTGTATATTATCTAGATATATCTATATTTAATTTCAGTTTTTTAATTATTTATTATACGACTATGGCTTTCGCTTTCAATCGGAAACTTTATTGATTCACTCATCTTTCATTCACTCTTCTTTAAAGCAGTAAATATCATATTAAAGGAACATTGCGAACCTATGGATATTAAATTGCTTCTACCATAACATTCTCTCTATAACGAATTACAATTTACATATAAATCGATAAGATATGCCTGTTGTTACCATTCAGCAGCCTCATTGACTCGTTCATGTCTAACGTTTGTTTTGAATTGGACATTCACTAAGGAAATGTCATATATCTACCTTTTCTTCAGTATTGCATAGTGCGCATCTCGGGACTAACAAGTTAGTAAAGGGAGCGTAGTTGAGTTTGAGCAGTTCTACTATATATAAATCTATATATTATATATATATATATACCAATTATACCCTACCAATTTTAAATTATATTAATCACCAAGTAAATCTCTTCAGCTCACTCACCCAAACATTCAGTACACAAATTAGCTCATATATATATCTAATAAAATAAGCAAAAGTCCAAAATGCTAGTCAAAGGCTTAAGGTTAAATTCAATATCAAATACAAACTTCAGACTATACCATAGCATACCTACAACGAACTTCTAGGTACAAAATCTTTTGATCTTAGCTCTCTTCTTACACTATTGCTGTTGATACTTTGCAACAGCATTTGAGAAAATGTGCTAGCTAATTGCACTAAAAATGATCACATTTACGGATTGGTATAAAAATAACTGTTTCTGTGAGAATTGTATATTTAATAGTATTAATAGTATAATATTAATAATAATATTAATAGTAATATTAATAGTACGACAGTGTAAATTGTTGTACATTATTTATTTTGTGTTTCTGAATAGTTTTTGATATATATAAATATCAATATTTATATTCTAAATTATATACCAATATTTTATATATTAAATTTATTAATATGTAACGGAATTGTATGATAAACGAGAGATGAATATTATTTGAATAAATACTTAAATAAATGGAGATAAAAAAATAATATAATAAATTCAAAACAGAAATTGATGAAACTTTCATAAATATTTTAAATATTTTCTCAATCCAAAAATATAGCAACGAATTGTACTAAAAAACAAATTAAAAACAATAAAAAAAAACAAAAAAAAAACAAATTGATTTTCTTTTTTCTTTTGTTTTTCTTTTCGCTAAGCTCTAAAAGCAAATGTGTAAACAGTTCAACTTTTGTTAGACCAAAAAGTTGATTCACGTGAGATAAGCTTAAAGTCTGAACATATTATAAAATATTTTACAATATTATAAAATCATCTATTTTAGCCAATTAAATATACAGAGAATGTAAAAAAATATTTTAATTAAAATAAAATTGATAAATTTTATAAAATGTTTCAATCTGTAAGCATAAATTCTATCTAAAATATGGTTAAATATGTGAAGTACCCACGCAATGTTTTATTTTTCTTACGTTTATGTATTTCACAACTTTACGTAGTCGCAATGGATAAAAATGCAATTTCTTATACTAAAAATTATGAGATAAATTCTGTATTGGTCTTTGTGCACTACTTCTCAGATATTTTTGCAACAATTAGATAGACAACAATGTCTAAGCATCAATACAAAAAAAAAACACAAAGAAACGAAAGGTTGAAAAAATGAATTTTAGACATTTTTATGTAGTATTTCAGTATATTTAGAATGAAAAAAATATTAAAATAGATATAAAATAATTCTAAGGAATTCGCATAAAATAAAAAGTAAAATTTGTAAATATTATTGAAATCTACAGACTCCTTTATACTAATGAATTTGTATACATTATTCACCTAAGGTTTCTTATATAGAAAAGCCTTTATGAATTTATAAGTACAAAAGTACAACTGTCTAGTTTTGGATAATATGTTGAAAAACTGCCGAAAATTTTAACGAGTAAGGCACCATCCAATAGTTTTTGAACGCTACCCAACCGTAGGTCTAAATCTGGTACCATAAGGGTCGCGGTTCTCAACTTCAGATATTCTAACGAATAGAGTTTAATCCCTTAAAGGGAGTGTCGTGGTAGCTGTGGTTTTAATTGTCGGATCTGAGCAAAGGTCTAAATTTTGTATCATGGAAGTCACAGCTCTCAGCTACGGATAGCTTAACCAATAGAGGTTGGTCGCGGTGGCTGTGGTTTTAATTACCGCAGCTGAACAGAGGTGTAAATCTGATACCACGGCGCTCAGCTTCGGATGGCCTAACCGATGTAGGTCGTGATGTAGACAGTGTCATCACGACACTGTGGCTGTGGTTAAAACCCCATATTTATGCAGATAGAATAACTATATTTAATTATTTTCATTTGATGTGACTGCCCTACATAGTACTATCTAATCGCAGAGTAGTCACTAGCCGTACGTAACGGTATGCGACATTTAAATTATGCAAACAGAAGGGACGGACTCTATAGAAGCCACACAGCTAAGAAAGAGTGAAAGTGCTCAGTTGCACTAACTCGGAAAAAACTCAACATAAGATAAGATTTGATGTGGAGTTGAATTATCCAGTCGGATGTTGTAATTTTAACAACAGCAGAGGTTATAAAAATGCTTCACTTCCTTCTAAGCGATGAAACTATATTCAAACGTATAGCTTCAATTGGTATCAGAGTTCCTTGGACGGTACCAATACGTAATGGTGTTTTATACGCCAATAAACGCCAATTGAATTTAAAACAATTCTGACGGTACTAATAGAAGCTATTTGTTTGAATATTGTTTCGTCGCTTGGAAGAAAGCATCCCTGCCTTTTTAACACCTCTGCACCGTGGCGTTAAATCTTCATAACTTAACATTGTTGTTTAAAAATGTTAGACTCTGTATAAAAGCATAAGAGCTATAATACCATACGTCATTAATTTTTTACACAACATCAACAAACTGTAGGTCCAAATGAGTATCTCTCTTTTTTTTAGAATTTAGGCATCTTGCTACTCATATGTTTATTTTGAATATTATTCATTCTTGGTATTTGCATTGATAAATAATGAAATTATCAGATTTATAGAAGTAAAAAATAAACAAATAAATTAGAGTACAATTTGCATGATGACGCATATTTGTAAAAATAGTTGAACACGCATCTGAAAATGAAATTGGAAGTTCCATTTTTACAGATACATTTGGTACCGACGTAGTAGATTCACGTGTTTGCTGTTCTGTTTGAATGACGTGTTCATTTTGAGTCAAAAGTCTGTGACGTCAAACAAGTTAAAGATTTATTAATGTACACAAAATAAAGTTTATTGAAAGCATTTTTTAATCTTTATTGTTTTTTTTTTATTTTATTCGCATATTAAATAATTAAGACAGACAATGTAGATGAACGAACACACCTCAAAGGTGTCACAGTAATTTCATGGGAAGTGGATTTACTTGTAAGTGACGTCATGAGCATTTTATTTATAGCAACAGTATATACTATACAATGAATATTAGTATTGTTGGCACTTATATATTGTATCTACATAACAAGTATCTAAATGAATATATACGTGTGTGTAGTGTATTAACAAGCTGAGCATAATAATAAGCCACGCACTATTTATGCCTACTAACTGACGTGTATAATAAAATCTGAAGTATAGATACAAAATTTTGCAATATTTATATGAAAACTACTAGACACGAAAGTGAATTATAAAGCAAGAATAGACAAAAATTAATTATTATTTTTTTTACTTATAATTAATCATGCGTTTTGAATTCTTGGAAATTTAGTTTGAAGTAAAATAATTAAGTATCTAAAAAAACACACAAAAAAAAAGTAGTGGTCGTAAGTAAATTTTGAATACATTATCTCATAATTTTTTCACTAGTTCAAGGCTTTGTATGTTAGGCTGTCAATAACATCTTTTAATAGAAAAATTCAAATAAAATTTATTTTGTTTATAGAAAATAAAGGGAATAACAAAAGTAGAGAAATAAATAAACTTCACAAATGATATAATAACAACAAAATATATATATGCTATATAAACAAATTTTTTGAAATTTTTTAGAAATGTATATATGAGTATTTCTATGAACTACACATACAACTACTCATACAGAATGTGAGTTCAAAAATATAGTAAAATTCACTTGTGTATCTAAACAATATTTTATCGCTTTTATTTATTGTTTATATATTTCATATATGTTACTTGGAATATTTTATATAAATATGTATTTCGTTTTATGTTAGTATAATTACCATTTCCTGATTACAATTCATATGATCGACTATCGTGATCTTGTTTAATTTGAGTTGTAATTAGCGTGTGTGTTACTAGCTAAAGTTGAAAATCGCATAAAATAGTTTCGAAAGTTCAGAAATATAAAATCTAATAAATTTTAAATAAGATGAAAGATAATATTTGAATAAATAAAAAAAAAATTATCTTTGGCTTTCCCATAACCTCAATACCGTTCACACAAACAGTAAAGTTATAATGTTATTACCTATATATGCCCATATTTACTATTTATATTAAGGCTATATATATCTCACACATTTCTGAATTGGTTCGGTTATGAAGTTCAATACTTTAAGCCAGGGCTATACAGACTAGAGAAGATCGCGGGCCAATATAAATCACTAAATAGGTTGGAGGGCCGCAGAAATAAATACATATGTTCATTTATTGCCACATACGAAATATATATTATTTTTAATATAATCATTTACGGTTGGATACGAAGGGTAATAAATTATTTAAAAAATTTTAACTCATGTATTTTGAATACCACTAAAGTAAAATAATGTAATGTTATCAAAGTATAACAAAGATTTGCCTAATTGTGGTAGATTAGAAACATGTCCCGGGCCGCATGCTCTAAGCTATGAGTTAAGTTCAGTATGGGTCTTCGATATTGGTCTTTTTCACTATGACAAATATTACTACCAACTTAATACATATTGTATTCATACTAGTGAGAAGGGTATCATTTGTTATAATAATCTATCGCTTGAATAAATAATAGATTCTAATTTCTGTGATCAATATTTAATAAGTGTGAATTGAAAAACTGACAGAAAAAAAAAATACCGGGTCACTAAAAAGCAATAAGTCACACAAATTTTTTATAAAACGGAAAAATTATTGTTAGGTTAGGTTAAGTGAAGTATGTGGAGGAACAATCCTCCTCTCAATTAGCTAAGAAGCAGTTTTGATTTCACAATTCCTTGTAATGGTGGGTAGGAGAATGGTCATATTAGAACCAGCCTGAAGCATTGGTACTTATTCATGTTTGTTAAGCTATGATCGTCAGATTATTTTATGCTCTGATCTCTTCATTTTATTAGCAGTGTATAATTGAGCAAAAAGGGGACTGTGAAAAGAAGACTGTGAAATAAAACTTCTAAGTTTTACAGAAAGTATAAGGCTTATATTCGAGAAATAGCAGTTTGTGGTTGAAAAAATTGAGCATTATGCAGATTAAAAGTCTATTATAAAACTAAGAGATTTTGTACAGTAGTGATTTGCAATAACAAAATATTTATTTATTTTTAATTAATTGAATTTTTCGTAGATTTTGTATAAGTTGTGAAAGTTCCTTTCATCTTTTATTTTATGAAAGGAGCTTGAAAAGAAATCTCAATTAAATCGGAGGTAATGAGGTCAAAAAGGTGTCCGAATTGTAAAAGAATGATCCATATACATTATTTAATTCTTTTTTTTTATTAGTTTTTTTTTTAGTTCTAAGAGGATGTAACGAAAGGGTTTTCCCTTATGAACTATGAAATTTGATTTTGTAGTAAAGAACTAGAGTAGAGAACTAGAGACCATTTAGTATTACTGAGATTTTGATTATAATGTTCTTATTTCTTGTTTATCTTTATTAATTATTTTTACTAATTTATTGTAACAATTAATTTTTTTAACACAGTAAACTTTAAATTTTAAATCAAAGAAAAATCAAAACTATTTTTTACTTTATGATATAAAAAACTTATTTGCTCATCAGTTTTAAGAGAAGTTCTATACAATATAATAGCTGTATTTAAAAAAAAATTAGTCCCGAAAGTTTAGGTAGGGTTCTGCTTAAAGTTTTTTATTAAAGTACTGAATTGATTTGAGTGCCGATATTGGTTAGAGTGCGATACTAAGCGAAAGCAATACTTTGGGATGAGAATTATTTTTCAAGACTCAAAAAAAATCACAAATTAAGAATATATAAGGAGGAATAAAGTGTGGTACCTTAAGTTAAGTCGAATTTATTAACTGATATATATGAGTTTATTTTAGGCACACAAGCATAATGGCAACATACAATACCAAACTTGCGCTAGAATATGCAGCTCCACACTTTTTGATGTATTATATTCCACTTGGGTTTTTTACAATTATAATGTCTGGAGGTGCTCTTCAGTTGTTTCAAATTCCCAAGTTGGTTGTTTTTCTCAATCAGATGTGGAACACTCGTCTGCAACAAGAATTACGTGTATATCGAGCTATCTCACGCGCATTTCCAGATATTTCTGTGTTGACAGCAGAGGAGAAGGCGCAACAACTACGTTTGCAAAGAAGAATCATTGAGACTCAGTATGCAATTGTGGATCGTGAACATATGTTGAATAAAATTGGAGTATTAATTCAGACTGTTATTATAATTCTTTTGAAGCTCATTATATTCGGAGTGCTATCCTATTTTGTAGCTAAGAATCTGTATAATATTATTGATTTTTACGATTACGTAGGAAATGACCTCATAACTGATAATAAACTACTATCACGTGTGTTACGCTTTCCAATAGAAAGGCACCAGGAATTAGCAGGTTTATCAGTTCTTGTATACTTTCTGTGCTGGTTAGTTATATATTGTATCATCGAAGCAATATGCTTTTTCTACTCTCGATACCGTAAGGCATAAATTCCCAAAACAAAATTTTTTTATTTAAAATTCTATGTAACTCGGTAAAATATATTTTATTATAATATAGATTTGATTCTCTGTAAATGTTTAGAACATAATAAAGAAGTTTTTTGTGTGAATTTACACAACACAATATATTTATATATATATAAAAATTGCGTTTATTAGTGGTATTACAATGGGTTAACTTTTTGTATTCAAGTAGGCTTTGGTGGGCAAAGCCGTCATTTTAATCTTAATCTTAAATTAACTATAAACACAGTTTTTATATTTTAATTTAACCATACAATATATATGGTATTTTATTTAATTTTTTGGTAAATTATTATATTTCTTTCTGTATTAGTCGTTATTTAATACGATCTGGAGTATCAAACTCTTAGGCCAGTCATAAAGTAATAACGTAAAGCGGGAACAACAGAAGATATTACGTGTGACTGGGTTACCGATCTCGTCACTCGGGACTGTAAATACCATTTTTTTTTGTTTTAAATTCTCATTTTATTTAAATTCTTTTGTATTCCGTCGAAGTTATATTTATTTTAGTTGGTTCTTGTCATTCCCTGTCCTACAAATTAAAACCTCCATTCTTCTTTAAATATACATAGATTATTTAATTCAATTTATGTCAACTTATTTATTGAACAAAATCTCCGAATTTTTCAGTTTTATTAATTAAATATCGTTATATTGTAGTTTTTGAGGACAATATTTTGATACCCTAAGCCTAGTACTAAGATCCATTTTGCACGAAAAATTGACATAAAACTTCATATAAAAAAAATGTTCTACAATGTCCACATTTAGTGGAATATTTTTTTTATATCGAGACTCGTGACAATTTTTCGTGCGAAATAAAAGCTAGTACTATGGTACAGAGCGAAAAATACAACAGTGAAGAATAAGGTGTTATAAAATAAGAACCAGCTAATTTAACTGTGAAATTATCATCGATATTAGGGCATCAAACTTTTAAACCCCAATTTTGTTAACACAAAATGAAATTAATATCTTTTATTTATACAAACAAATAATGCGACTTTTAAAAAGTATATTTTTGTTGATATAGGTATGTGCTTTTATTTTCACATGTATATTCTAGAAAATATTTTTGTACTTAAACATTATGTAAATTTAAGCAGATGTGCGTTTTTTGTTTACAGAATATCATTTCATTGCCATAGAAAACAAATACATTAGCTACTATCAGTCAATAGAGTAGAGAGAGTAGCAGAGTTGTGATTAGTCATGGCGCCATTTATTATTAATAAACTGAAGGACATTTAGAAATATCGAATGGGGATGTCTGGGAAAAGTCCTTGAATGTTAGAAAATAGTGAACAGAAGAGAAAATTTTGCAAGAAATTGTTGGTATGAAAAGTAGTATTTATTACTAGATTTAAAAGTCGAGTACGAAAACCACTTTAATGGTGAAATACTATGGGAAATAATTTTAAGTTTTAACAACTACTCTTAAATTAACGATACTTAATATGTCTATTTGTAGTGAATTATAGAAACAAATAAGGTATAGTTTCTATTTGGTTCTATACTTTCTATTTGTTTTAGTTTGTGGACAACAAATAAAATGAAATAATTGGTTAGATTGCTGTAAATTGCAGTCTTGCCTAGTCAGCTATTAAGTAATTATTAGGGTAACAATGCTAAACAAGATATTCTAATGGGTTAATAGCCCACGTGCGTGTTATTATAAATATGTTGTCATAATATATTTATATTAGAACGATTTGTAAACAATATTTTCAGCAATTAGTAACTGACACATGAACAGTATAAACTAATATTTTAGTAATTAAGTTTGAATTGGGAAGTTAAAAATAGTTTTTACAAATGGTAGAAATTTTTACGCTTTATGTATAATTATTTAAACCACAGTATAATAAAAAAAATATTTTATTATAATAATCAAAATAAATTGCAAAACAGAAGCCCAATCAAAACAACATTGCCTTAATCTATAAAAATGATTCATCCATGTAGCTGCAGACCATTAAACATCCCTGAACTTGATGACTAATGTGTTTTTGTTTTTAAATGAGTTAGAAAACTAGGGTAATTCAAAGTTAATTTTGAAATAATTTACCATGTTAATTCACACAACAGCTGGTACTGCAGCCAAAAAAGTCCTATTGTCCCAAATGCACTTTAAATTATACAAAACTCTTTAAAGCTTTCTGAACAAAATCTAGAACTAAATTTGGAGAAGAGTTCTTAATCTGTGCTGAATGACAGTACTGATTAATATCTCTTTACCTCTTTTTGTTAAAGAATTTTTTTTCTATCAATTAACATATCTGTAGTTGGTTATTAAAGCGAGTTTTCCTATCTCTTCCTACTTCTTTGTACAAAATCTAACAACTTTACTAGAGCTAAAGTTTTTTTAGTATAACAAAAAGAATTTTTCATGTGATATGTGACAACAGGTAAAATATGAATCTATCACTGCACTTCAGTGTCAAATACATTGTCACAGATAGTGGACGGCATCCAGTGAAAGCCGTCAAAGTAAACAAAAATGCAAGTGTCAAGGTGGTAAGGTTTTGGTCTTGATACTTCATGATGGATTCATCGAGTATGGAAAAAAAAATTATTAACAAATATTATATGGCATTATTGTTGTGATGGATAGAAGAAATTGCGAAATAGGACTTTAACTGAAGAAAAAAAAGTTGCTCTTTTACTAGGATAATGCCCCATTTCACATGTTCAATGATCACAATAATGAGAAAATTATACGAAATCCAGCGTAAATTGATTCCTCATTAAATTAATTCTTTAGAACTGATTCTTTGCGTCTACAATATACATTTATTTTATTTATATTTATATTATATATTTGATTTTCCATTAATCAAATTCTGTAGAACTGATTCTTTGCGTCTACTATATATATTTAGAAATAAAAAAATTACTAGCTAGAAAAAAATATATTTATTGATTAAAAATTAAAAAATTATAAGTTACTTTATTTAGTGACGTTAATATTTATTGACATTGGTGTTTGTAGATATTTTTATTTAATTTTTAATGAACTTGATATTTTCTGAAATTTATACTTGCGAATGTAAGCATATATACTTTATAAAAAATAATAATATAGATAATACGAAGAGTCGCGGTAGTAAAAGTAAAAAGTGCTTACAGTCAAAAAAGATAAATGCTCAAAAAAAAAAAAATGAAAAATAAAACAAAATATGTGAATAAAAAATATTTTTTTATAGAAAGCATATAATATGAAATTTCCACTGTTATAATATTCGAATACAGTGAAAACTCTCTTCACGGTTATCACTCCCTCATCAATAACCAACAGTAACCAAAAATAAAATTTGGTTTTAGAAACATTGTGCATTCCATTCGAAGATTTTGAAATATCTTAACGAATAGATCTAGTAAACGAACACCTCTTCTAGTTCTATCCGTTTAGACATTTCAAAATTTTCGAATACAGTGAAAATTCTTTTGAGCGAACACTCATTGTGAGTCAAATTTTCGTTCTTTAGGAAAGTACGAGCTAAAAGGGGTTAAATTATTTGCTCAAATAATGATAAATACAAAAAAAAAAGATTTGGTTTTAGAAAAATTTTCTATTTAGGGTTTAATAAGTTCTGTTAATTGATTTTATAAGTTTCGAATATAGCGAAAACTCTTTTACGCGAATACTCATTGTTAATCAACTTTTGTTCATTCATGTTGGATGAACAGAAATAGTTAAATTGTTGGAAATAATAATAAATAAAAGTTTATAAAATAAAATAAAAAAAATTTAGAAAGTTGGTCTATTTAATAAAACTGTTAGGAGAGTTTATAAGTTTCAAATAAAGTGAGTACTCTTTGAAATTAATCGTGGACCAACTTTGGTTCGTTCATAAACGATCCTAAAAGAGATCCTAAAAGAGTGAAGTTACTGGATATAATTATGAACACAAAAATAGTCTATTTATTAAGTGTTCATTTAGGATAAGATAGAACCAGGAGAGTTTCTGCTAGGAGTTTCTGCTAGGAGAGTTTCAAGGTTTCGGTTATATTGAAATTTTGTTTATTAAGATGTTCCAAATAATGATAAATACAATATTGGGCTTTAGACAAATTATATATTAAGTAAGAATGTTCCTTGAGACCAGACTTTAGTCAAATAAAGTCTCTATAGAGTATTTGGTAGGCATTTTAGCGTAAATTATTCTAGTTTGAATATGATATAGATTTGAATATTAATGAGAAATTCATATTTAGCCTAAGGAGATGTCCACAATTCTCTACAAAAATATTTTAAAATTATTGACACAAGTTTTTTGTTTTATAACAAAAAATATAAGTGAAGCAGACCTTCATGAAATTTTTTACTAATTTAACTCATTTCGCTGATTATTTTAACTAATAGAGAGAAGTTAATTAAATCGACATAATAATAATAAAAATTTTTTGGAATCAAAAAAAAATGTTAAATGAAATTATTGAGTTATTAAATTAATAATTTAAATTGAATTTAAGGTCAGAAATGATGAAATCAATTATTTATTATCATTACTAAAACTTATTAATATTATATATAGGAATTATTTATATTAATTATAAATGAAATTCTATTTTTCTATAGTTTCTATTTTTTTAATAGAAACTATTGTTTTAATAGAGTTTTTTGTAAGTAAAATGAATTATTTATGCAATAAATAATTTGTTTATTTTTAATAATTATTATCATTATTAAATCTTATTAATATTATGTAAATATAGAAAGTATTTATATTAAATTTGATTTTTAATGTCAGTTTTGACGAAAGAAACTATATTCTTAATAGAAACTATTGTTACAATAGAAACGTTTTCGAAAGTTAAAGTTATTTTTTTTTTTATTTTAAACTAAATAAATAAATTTTTAACTAAATATTTTGAATAAAATATAACTTTTTCAATATAGTTTTTTATTTTTCTGAAATCAATTATTTTTATTTAAATTGATGTAGCATTTTATTTTCATGGAATTTAAATGCTGTCTAATTGCAGCATTTTGTAGTGATTTTTATAATTTGTAATTTTTAGATTTAATTTTAGACAACAATTGACGAGTGTGTATTAT